ACTGAATTCCTCTGCTCTTTTAGAGTCCTTCCGCTGGATCGAGGCCAAGGGCAGCGGGCGGCAGTGCTGCGTTGCGCTGTGATTTTTAATGGAAATGCAGAGGACTCTTATTGCTCAGAATCATCAATTCTTTGCTAAGTTCTTCCTTTAATTCCTCTTCAGTTCTTCAATTCTTTGTAAATTCTTCCTTTGCTAGGTAAGAGTAGGAATCACTTTGAACCAGTTCACATTGGAAAATACAATATGACAGTTTGGGAGCCAGTGAACGCCTCTGCCGTGTGTCCCCTTTAAGGACTGGGCACCAGAGATGCTCTTAGCTTACTAAATTGTTTAAATTGAAATACTAAAGGAATATTTATGTTTTTCTAAAGTATTTAGCATCATAGCTTTTTTGTTTGTTTGTTCATATTCGTGGTGTGGTAAGGAGGCGTCTTGCATAATCATGGATCCAAACTTGACTGCAGTAGATCCTGTCCAAATGAATAACAAAAAAAGAACATAATACATGAGCAGGAGATACCTAAAGAAACATAAGATAATGCCAGTCATTGTAATGATGAAACCCCTCCCATCGGGAACAGCTGCCGTCTCCCACCTAGGGGTTGGCTTTCTCCTTTGGGCTCCCCCCCAAAAAAGGCAATACATATTTTGTGGTGTAAACAGGTATCATATAGATCAAAAGCTTTCCAGAAATCAACAAATATTGAGCTCTGAGAGCAACACTTTTGATGATCAGCACTTCGGCCAGAGGTGGCCAATTTTGTTGTTAAAAATGAAAAGCTGCACGTTCTCACAGAAACGTATTATTGCTAAACCCCAGCATTTACAAAGTTCTACATAGCATATCTAAGATCAGGAGCTATGGTAGATCACAGACTTAAGGTGTAATAAGTATTCCCTTTGGTTTTGAGACTCAGTAATATTTTAAACTTTTTTCAGTAGATTTTTAAAGCTGTTATTTTTTCATAATTGCCTTCTAGGAGCTTTTTTTTAAAGTAATATTAAATAAATTGCATTTTGTGATAAAATTACAAAAAAGTTATGCCAGGAGTTGTATTTTAATATAACGTATCACGTATTAGCTGGTAGGGAACGATAACATTCTTCTCTGGGAAACTAACACGATAATGTGCTACAAACATGATAACTCTTCGCATAGGTTATGCATGTGGAGGGACAACTGCTGTGCCGTGATCAGCAACCTCCCAAATTAACATCTTCATTTCACCAGAATAATTTTTCCTGTGTGCCGCTTTTAACTAAGGAGTGAACTATGTCTAAGAATTAATACCTGTTCAATCTACATTTAAAAAAAAGATAAGTTTGTAAATTGTTTAGGGTTTGTTTCTGTATTTGTCAAGCCGTGGTCAGTGTCCATGTTTATTCTGTAGCTTTAATAACTGTTGGTTTCATTGCTAGCGAGTCATGAAAGAAGTGAAGAAATTATGCTGTCTGCCAAAACTATTACTTTTCTTGATGATCTTTATTCTTGTAACTTTTGAGGTTTGTTTTTTTTTATAGTGGATTTTTTCTTCATAAAGTGCTTTTTTGCCTTTCTCATACTTCTCCCTCCTTGAATATTTTTGTAATTTAAAAATAAAAGGACTAGTATGGTGCCATTTGCCCTCCCTTTCTGGCAGCGTTCCTCTATTTCCACTTTTGGTTGGAGATCACAGTAATCCAGCGTGTTGTGGAAAACAGTTCTCCCCGGAGGGACATCTGGCTCTTTGATGCACTCCACAGGCAGTTCCCTTGGCAGCTCTGGAGATGCCACTGAAAGATCTGGCACACTTATGCTTAGATGAAAGTAAGAAAATCCCTTGTTAGTGATGTACAGAGTAAGATACTTCTATTGCACCAAATTGTTTTGGTCCTACTCATATACTTCTGACAGTAAATATTAGCATAGAGGAGATTTTGGGGGGTTTTTTTGCTGAATATGAATGTGGAAGAAAGTAAAAAGGTCTGCAAATACAGAATCAGTAAAGGCAGAAAAGGGAAAAAAATGCAAAATTAGTTAAATAGTTGCAAAATCTATTAAAAGGCATGAGAAAAACCCAACAGGGATCATGAATGAAACTTCAATTCCTACCCATCTAGTAAAATGAAAAGAAGTCACATGTTACAAGTAATTGCTGAGCGCTTACTACTGACCTGTTCGAAGAGCACATGTGTGAGTGAGTAATCGCTGGTGAACAGGAGTTACATGGTGTAGGCGTTGGAGATTGCTGCTCCTGTCTTTTTATTCAGTGTTGCATCGTTTGACTACCTTCACATTTTTGTTGGCTTTACTACATTTTAGTTCAACAGACAAGTGGAGTCTTACTTGGTTCCAAAGGGCAGGATCTGTTTTGGTGAATCATGTTAGTGAGAAGAGTTTCTCGTGTATATTCGCTCTGCTCTGAAGATACGCATTGGTAACTACCAGCTGGTCATTCATCCCCCATGAACATCCTCATCACAGCTGCCCATGCTATAATCTGGACATTTGTTTTTCAAAGTTGGAAGTGCTGGGAAGAAGAGTTGTTTCTCATTCCTCCCCCAAGAAAGACAAAGGCTGCCTGGTGGCAGCGGTGGCAAATCTGTGGCATTTGGGTCAGAATTGGCATGTGCTGTTCCTGTAACTGGTACATGAGCGCGCTGGCTGCTCTCCCTGCGAGCTGAGCAGATTGCAACAGCAGCAGAGGAAGGGAGGAGATTTGAAAGAGCCGGGCGGATGGCATCAGGGGCTTTAAGAAGTGGCCCCAAGAAAAAAAAAACCACCATGATGGGAGATGTTGGTATCTGGCATCTGTTACTCAACCAGGAAAGTATGCGTACCCTTACAACAGCCTGGTATGACATGCCATTTTCTGAAGCCAGGGAGTTGAAACCTGTTCCCAGCCTTGATTATAGAAGACCCTGAGGTATCATGTTCTGTAAGGTTCTATGTAGTCAGCCAGAAGTTCCACGTGTAAAAATTCATCTCCTGGAAGAAAATTATTTGGGAGATCTTCTAATGTACTGAAATACCTACTTCATTCAGAATTCTCCGCATACAAAATCCATACCTATAAAAGCATATTTTGAGACTGAGTTATGCGTTGATTAAATACAGAATTGATTAAACAAAAAACAACAAACCAAACCAAGACCTTTGACTAGTGCAACTAGTATTATAATAGTCTCTTAGTTTCGTTCCTTCGAGCAGTATTCTCTACAGCACTTTTTAATCTCCAGTTAAATATTTTGTTTTCAGATGAAGGCTTGAGTGCTTTTCTTCCGTGGTGTGTTGAAGACTGTTAAACAGTTTTAATACACACATTTCAGGAATTCAGTTCAATTGACCCCTGTCTTTATTACTTTCAGGAATGAAACCTTGAACACACTTAAGTCATTTTGCCATGAAAGGTCACCATTGACTTCTGTGAGGCCAAGATTTCACTTATGTATTCCCACCTTGAAAAGCAAAAATAAAAAAAACCATTATTTAGCTTAAGAGTTTATATGTCCAGACTTTATGGACAATTTATTTTATCTTTACCAGATGGTATGTCTCTATGTAACTATTTTTGGTATAGCAGTCCCTATTTGGCTTTTTTGACATTGTCTTTCTGTGGGATAGTTCTGAATTGCAAAAGACAGAGAATCAAGGAGGCAAGGAAAGGTATTTGCCAGGAACATTTATGGCTTTGAAATACTCACTGGTTACCCCTGCTCATTGCCTTCCATCCAGCTATGGCCATAGTTATACTACAAATTGTCTCTGAGAAGGGTTTTTTTTAATACTTCAGATGCCTTGAACAAGCCCAATGTTGTACTCATCAGGCTTATCAATTTTTAGCCATTTTATTAGATACAATATATATTGGTTAAAAAATTTACATTTTTGAATCTTTTCAGTATCTTTGAGAAGGAACGACTTGGAGCGCTTGACATTTTAATGCAGTTTGTCTTTTCAAATAGATTTGGCTTCTAATGCATGTGACAACAGGACTTTGCTCTTCAGTTAGAGCATACATTTCAGAGTAGTTGTTACCTAAAATATTATCATAAGGCATAAGAAAACACACGATTTAAGTTGCCTTTCATGAACATAATTAAGAATTAATAAGCCTGTACCAGTGGCTAGTCCTCAGAATTTCCACTGTTTTGCCTTTTGTGACCCGTGTTATTAAAAGTCCATTATTTTTACAGACTTTATTAAATTGGATCTTATTAAAGCATTCTATATTTGCATTTGGTCTTTCATAATTCATTATTATTATGACATTTACTTTTTACCATCAGATCTGAAAACATATCATAAGCTACCCTTTTCTCTTGAAAGAAATGCTAATTTCAAACAGTCCTCTAATGGAAGAGAAAAGCTTTATCAGTTTTTTCATTTATTCAAGATCGTGTTAAGAATACTAATGCTAGACTTCTGTATGCTAATATCCGACAGCTTTTTTTGGTCAAAAGCTTAGAATTATTGTTTTTAGACCACACTGCTAAGTATGTCACTGGCAGGGCACTAGTACAAAAGAAAATACAATTCTGAAGTACCACATTTTACTTCTATGACTGATAAAAACAATTTCTTGATCTTTCATTATTAAATTATGCTTTCATATGAAATTATACTATTTTTATACTTCGTCATGTTTACTAGATTATGGCTCTACTTAGTTTCTCTTTAGAAGTTTTTAGCAATTGATTTAGCATGATTATTTAGGGGGTGTTAGTTTTGAATTATAGCCTGCAGAATAGTGTAACAGGAAACGGAATTCTCCATCAACTAAATCACTATTTCAACCAGTTGTTAATTGTTTTAATTTAGACAATCTGGGATCTATCATATTTGTAAATATTCTCATAATTTAATCATTAAAAGGGAGAAAGAGCTCTAGAATTGAATGCAGAAGCCTAGATGTTAAACAGTAGATAACACTCACCTGAATTTAACATAATTTTTTTTTTTTTTTTAAAACTGACTTCAAAAACACCTCTACAATGTTAACTTTTTTTTCCCCACATAGATTCCTGACGATGTGCACTAGACACTTCGGGAGTGTTGTAGCCCAAACAATTCGAACTCAGAAGACAGACCAGTTTCCACTTTTCCTTATTATTATGGGAAAACGATCATCTAATGAAGTATTGAATGTAATACAAGGTACAGTTCTCGCTTTATATTAAAAGTGGTTCTTATGTGTGAGTATTGAAACTGTTAGAAGACATCTTTGCTAACTGTTTCTTTTTTAAGATGTTCAGAATATGAATTTATTTCACACAAGCAGCTTTCAGTTGTCATTGTATAGATAGCTACTATTCATAAATACTATTAACATAGTATTAGAGACTGAAGTTGCCATGACTGTAGTAGAATCATAGTTTAAGTTTTTCAGTTTTTTTGAAGCAGAAGCCAAATCTCCTGAATAAGGAGCTACACTTAGTTTTCCAAATCTATATCCATATAAAATTCCTGATTTCCAAAAGATTTTTCCTGCACTTCTTGTGCCGGAATGCATTTAGTTCTCTGTGTGTAGTTCCTTGTTAACATGTGGACTCCTGTTGCATGTAGTGGGCTAATGTATTTGAACATGAGTTGCTTTTTCAGACCTGCCTGCAGCGCTGAGACCCCAAATCAGATCAAAATTTTAAGTTGCTAATATAATCTCACATAAATGAAGTTTTCTGGCTTACATGAGCAGTTCTTTCTGGTATAACCATTCCTCTGATTTCACTGACAGCAAGATGACTTAGATGTAGAGTGATGCCCTTTTACTGCTGTTCTCAGTAACTCTTCAAATTAAAATACATCAAAGAATGGCTGCCTCTTATTTCTTCTGCTTTCTCCACAAGCTTGCCTTCATGACACTGTGTCCTCATTTATTTATTGCTTATATCTAGCGATCTTTATTCTAATCTCCTTATTTTCCTGAGGAAATTCAGCCTCAGGAAATACTGCCTTTTGCAGACAGCATTACTGTTTCTTTCTGCATATGGGATTAATAATTTTCTTGAGGAATCTGCAGTTTGTGAATTTTGTGTGGATTTTGTCTCCTTAGTGCAAGGTACGGCACACCACTAATTCATGGTACTTCTGTCACTTAGAAAACTTATTTCATACAAATAACCTTATAAATAGATTTTCTTGTTTTTATAACTCTGCAGCATAGTTCAGCACGTGTATAACTTTAAGCACCTGTGTTATCCCACTGAAGCCAGTGGTGCTTACTGGCTTAAATTACTTAAGTGTTTTAGCAACTTGGTGACTCAAAGCCATAATATAATGCAGCTTTATATTATAAAATAATCCAAATTATTTCACTGCATTCATTAAGTTTTAATGATTTTTCAGGTTTTCTGCAAACAATCTTTTGAACTAAACTAAACTAAACTGATCATCTATTGCAGCCTTACTTAAATTTATCTTTTAGCAAAAATCAAACGTGCTGTGCATGTTATTTTCCCATGAATTGGGACATTGGTATCTTTTAACACTATGCCCCCAAATGAATGGTAGTCTCTGAAGTCATGTGTGTTGTACCATGCGGGATAACATTTTCTGCTAAGGTAGCAAATGCTAGAAATAGGAACAATGAGGGCTTTCCAGGGCTGGGTGAGAAGGCATGTTTACAGAAGAGATTCAACAATATAGAAACTTAAGTCCCAGTGGTGTTTATTGAAATGCAGACTAAGTTTGCTTTCGATTTTTATTTTTTCCTGGGGTTGGAAACTATGGGGACAGTTTTGTTTTCTTTAGTGGTACTATGGCTTCTGGTTAGTTTACTCCTTTTAAAATTTTGACCAGCATCACCAATATAAATCTAGCTCTTGTTGGTATTGTTCTGTGAATGTCCAAAGACTGTTGAAGTTGGCAGGTGTTAAGAGTTTATAGTTTTAGACCATTTCTCATGGTCTAAGACCTTTTAACTACTATGACAAGTGGCTCTAATGGGTAGTCCAGTCTTCAGTTTAAGAAGAGAAAACAAAGACTGAGTGCATCTTGGTAGGAAGTTAAGCTAATCTTTCAGTCTTACTGAAGACTGGGGGCACGCTGGTAGAAAAATGCGAGGAGGTATCTGTTTTCCTATGCGTGTGCTGTATTTCTTGGTACATACACAGATGACTGACTTTTCCACTATTATTAGCTTTACAAGTTTTATCAGAAGTAAATACACTGAAGAGAATATATTATAATATTTGAAGTTTTACTACTAGTTATACCTGAATAAAAATATGGGTGCACATATCCATTTGATCACTGTATTCTGGTTTTTGTCTGGTTTTTTTTAAACCAATCCATGTGGATGCTGCTGCCAACATCCTACCTTTTGTTACCAGACTAAGCAGTTGCTTCAGTTTCCCCGATTATACCTGGGAATTCTAAAACTTTCAGATTTTACAAATCAATTTCATGTCAAGGAACCCCAGATATAGGAGAGGTTATAAACCTTTCCTCTAACATCAGTGATTAAAAGAAAAAATAGAATTATTCCATGCAAGCACAAACCACCTAAAATTTTAGCCTATGATCAACGTTTGTTTGTAAAAACAATTTTGAATTTTCAATAAAAAGGCAAACTAAAGGCATTCTGTTGAGATATTTGCATTTTCTACTTTATTTGCATTTTCTACTCCTGTTTTTTAAGTCTGGCTATTTCTTATTGATTAATTCTAAAAAGACTTCTTTTTTGTTTAATAACTTTAATGATACGAAGTTCAGCTATCTTCCTTTTTTGCTAGGTAACACAACAGTGGATGAGCTAATGATGAGGCTGATGGCTGCAATGGAGATCTTCAGTGCCCAGCAGCAGGAAGACATAAAGGATGAGGTGAGCGTTGAAAGTTACTGCAGACGCCTACTGGCTTCTACAAATCACTGGGGATGCAAAATTAACCAGATGTTTCTTTAGCCAATGAAGTTGGGTATGATGTGTTTTAGTGTCTCTTCCATCATCAGAGATTAAAAATTTTAAGTCTCCTTTGTGTATTTATTTGGGTCTTTCAAAAAAACTCCTCCTTACTGGTTTACTGTAATTTTCAGTTTGTTTCCTTTTTCTGAACAGTAGTCATGAGTAACCGTTTACAATTGCAGTGGTATTATAGAGCTTAATATGCTCATGCAAGGAAACGACAATCAGGTTTTTTCCCAATGACCAGCTTCAAGTCATAGGTAAAAACCAAAAATAAATTAGACTGATATATTTTAAATGTATACGTTTAAAAGGGGATTGAAAAGCAACCTTAACCAGAACTATACCAGTACTGAATCACCATTCAGAACAACGCAGAATGGGTAAGTGATGACAAGACTTTTTGAAAACAGTGTTTCAATTACATGGAAGTAGACACAGTGAGGTATACAGTTGAGAGATGTTTATCTGTTACCCTATAAATTGAGAGTGGCATTTTGAAGTAATGAAGTACTTAGTTAGGTATTTATAATAATAGGTGTGTTGCCATTCAAGATTATTCTTACCCTGTTGTGTAGACATTGATTGACAATAATTCACTAAACACATTCTTCACATTTAAATCTTGTATCTCATTAGTACGAGATTTACCAATTATGGTTATAATAATATGAAGGCATGGTATCTGCACAATATCTGTAGTTCATTTTTTCTTCTTTATTTATGCTATCTGTAATTCATTGGTAAAGAAATTGACTTTAATTTTGTTAATACTGAACACAAATTTTAATATGAGGATTACAACAAAAATCCAAGGCACAATATAATTTAATTTTTTATTGCATTTTAACAGGAATATGTCGGGTGTGGGTTTTTTAAATGCTTTAATAAGAAGGTAAAATTCACATCACAGATGAGTTCCAAGAAAGGTTCAGAACTGGAAACTATACAAGCTGATAGAAATGAAGAAAACAGAAGGAAAGAAAAGCATATAAGGGCAGAGAGATAAGAGCAAATAAGGGATAGGAGAAGGAACTAGAAGTAGGAGTGATAGAGAGTGGAATAGAGGGAGGAACAGGAGACCAGACCAGTTGTCCAGAGCAGGGGAGATCAGTATTCAGGAGAGAAGAAGGTGGGGGCAGGTCAGATAGTGATAAACCTGTCCTAGGAGGATAAAACCAGGTGGGTTTGCAACTGAGAAAAACCTGAGTGTAAGGGAGACAAAGCTTAAAGAAAGAGAAGACTCGGTAGCCTTGAGGCCATGATCGCAGAACCGGGAACTGGCTTCTGCACCCTGAGTCCTTCCCTGGATGGCCAAGAACAGTGACAGTCCAGTAATGTATGTCCCCACACGGTGATATGGATGTCTCCTGACTTCTTACTCTAGGTGCTCTACTTACTCTCAGTGTGTAGAGAGAATGGAAAATTAATTTTTATACATTCCTCTAAAATCTACCTTTGTCCAAGTCTTCTGTAGTCTCTTCTCACATTTCCTTTTGTTTTTCTGTCACTGAGAGCACCAGTGACATTTCTTCCCCAACGGGAGTTTTTTCTAACACACTTTGACATTCAGAAAACTAATAGAAAATTTCATAAACTTTGGGGGCAGGTTTCCAGATGCTATGGGTTCTATACACAAATAGGATATTTACTTACACCTTGGCTCCACTTGTTACAAGCACACTGAAAAGGTGATCTCAGGCACTTTCACCTTTGAAGCAGGAAGTTTAAAAACAAAAAAATAACCTCGCTTTATGAAATTACTATTCCAGAGAGGGAGTATTTGACAAGCAGTCTGTACTCAATAGAGGGCTTTAACCTGAAAAAAAAATATTGTCTTTTTGTGGTTTGCTACATAACATGTAGCTTTCTTATAAGTCTTGTACTTGACAACTTCAAGTGTTCAAACATCAACACCTTTTCTTTTTTAAGATCTTATTGCAGTTGGTGCAATTTTTTCCCAAATACTACAATAGCAAACAGGATACAGAGTCCGGTTTCTGTTACTGTTTCCTTAATAGCACAATAAGTCATCATAAAACCACAAGAAGATAAGCAGAAAATTCTTCTGTGTTTTAAAAAGAGAAGTCATCTATATAGCTTTGCTGTAAACAGAAGTGTGTGTGAGAGAGAAACAGAACTGGAAACACTTGTAAATAACAGCATGAAATAATTAATGAGTCAGTTTATGCAGCTGAACTTCTCCACTTTGGATTTTTAACTTGCATGCACATGAAAGCTTCCAACACAGCTACTGCATAATTCTGTTCAGCACAGCATGTTTTGCAGTGCCCTCTGATGGTTATTTCAGTACAGGATGACTATTACCACTGCCAGCTAATGGTACAGGTGTTCGCCGTGGTGCTGGCTGTAGCTGTTCAGGCATTGCTTTACAGTCAGCTCCCCGACACTGGTCATCGACTGATGGAGTAGGCAGGATGCTCAGAACAGCATCACTGACTTGCCTCACCTGAGCAAAGTGAGTCACTTCATTAGCTGGTGGTAATAGTATGGTTACCTAAATCCTGTGGTTTTGCATCCATGTGTTAGTAAAATTTACTGGTGTAGCCTCATAAAATTTTAATCAGGCAAATTTGGGGCATATTTCTATAATGTCAAGTGCTAAAATACTGTCATTTAACCAGCAATTGGATTTAAATTTTAGATTTGTATATTGTGTTTGATTAAGCTTTTTCTTACATAATCTCCAAAGTAGTACCTTAAAAACATTGAGAGGCATATGTGTACTCATAGTAATCCAACGTACCTGGCTTGAGGTATGGCGGTGTGTAATTTAGGCACCCATTTTCTCTCCCAGGCTTTCTTAAAGGGAGATCAATCTGCCGTCCCATTCTTCTCCCTGCCCCTCCAAAGCTTCTGGGTCAATCATGAACCATTGGGCCTGTTGCCTGCTGCCTGTCAGCTGTGTGGACCAGATGACACTTTGGAAACCTCCTGCCTCTTTTGGACCGCACTGTTGAAGTGCCATTATATATACGCGGTCTGGCTGTTGTGCTGTCTGTTTTTATAAGTTTGCTATTTAAATTGCCATAGTAACAAGCCACAAATAATAAAATATGATCAGCAGCATACTGGCGTGCTCATGTGGCACTTCTGATAAGAAGCGGCCAATGGATAATTAAATGGTGGGTTCAGTGGCATCAACAGCAGCAAGGCCAGTTGGCCAGGAGGCAGTCCCACCCTTGTCAGTCTAAGGTCTGAAGTCCAACCTCAGGCTGTGTATGCAGAATTACTCTGAGGTTTCTGATGGTTTCATACATATTTCCTTTTCTAACCATGTTTGCTCCTCTGGCCCACGCGATCAACTACATGTTGATACCTCAGCTACTGTTCAGGCAGTGGGGTTGGGGATTTTTGCAAAGAGGAAATAAACGCCACTAAGGAGTTTCTCCTGTAAGCGGAGGAGGGTGTCTCAGAGCAGGGACAACCGCCCTCTGCCACGGCTGATCAAGGTGTGAACTGAGAATTTTCGGGGACTGACTTTGAAAAGAGTGCGTAGTATCAGTTCCTCTTAAGTGTCAGTGCCTGGTGCTGGACTTAGGAAAACAAATAATAACTGTAAAATATTGTACGCCCTGGAATGTCCATTTTTAAACACCCTGTTAGCTTGTTTGCTTTAATTGGATAGTTGAATAATCATCTCAGCGTGGCGTGATGGGCCCAAATAGATCCGAGTTAGTTCCTTTGTGAGATTAATGTGAAGAGATACGTGATTAAATCCTGGCATTACAGTGCAACACACCTGTTCTGGGCCGATCCTGAACATTTTTTCTCCATTGCCTGAGGAGGAGGCTTCTCAAAGGATTACAGTAACACTTTTTGACAAGCTTATACAGGGTGGAGTTTCCATGTAATGACAGGGCTTATTTGATGATGTCTCAGTAATGCATTCTTTTTATTTTTGCTGTCAACATTTATTACTGTAGAAGCATTGACTGTTACACAGCTGGTCCAACTTGTCCACATTTAAGTAACAGTAGGTCTCTCGTCGTGTTTATTTTTGTCGTTACGCAACACTAGCACTCCTGCTCTCGCATTAGACTTCAAGGTGGAATTGTAATACCCACAGTTGCTCCAAAAACCTTCTTATTTTTACAAATACCAATTAAAACCTTCAATTCACTTTAAACTATGTCTGCTGACACACTTTTCTTTAGTGTAAAAGAGAGATACTTAAGAATTTTTAAACTGGAAAAACTGTTGTAAACAGACTGACTGAAGATAAGCTGTAGAAAAATGTAGACCTGGAGAGTCACCATCTTTGCTCTCTGATCTTAGGTGACATCTCTTCTTCCTAGATACTGCTACAGTGTGAGGAAAATGTAGGTCCTTCCTGACCAATATCTGGATGGGGATTTAAAAAATATGTAAAAGAAAACAAAAACTCCAAAATAGCAACATAAATTCACCTTCCTTTCCCTGCCACAGCTCTTTGTAAAAGTATGCTTGCGTGTGCATCCCAGCCCTCTCTAGTGTTAGATGGGGCTTTACCAGCCAAATGTTATTTTAATAACTTTGCAGTTAGAAGCCTGGTATCACCATGTCTTCCTCCTCTTCTGCCTCGCTGCTGTCAAATGTGAGGGATTTCCTTCTTTTTTTTTTTTTGATACGGTAATTCAACAGTTTTAGCTTCCACACCTTTTCTCTTTCTTCTTCCAAAGATATATCTCACAGCCACAAAGGAAGCTAAAGAGGATCAGTCCTAGTGCATTTTCTCCCAATCTGTGGTCTGTTCGTCTTCTCCTCCTTCAGATCGGTTGCTTTTCTCCACTCCTTACCTGCAGTTGTGTTCTCCAGTTGGAGGGTGGCCTAAGTGCTTCCATCAGCTGTGCAGGAGAGCCCTGCAATTTCTCTTTAGGCACTGAAGCTCACACTAAAATCAGTAGAAATTAGGCATC